TGAAAGGAACAAGTTAAGGATGATGAAATAGAAGAGAATGGTTTTTGCATGAAATGTCTGAGGAGACATTTGTATCCAGAATAAAAGTAGAGAAGTCATTTTAAGGAAGAAAGAAAACTTTCTCCAAGTCTATACTCACTTAAACGTTTACAGCATGAATCCACATATTCCATTTTCTTTTACTGAATTATCACCTATCACAATTACACACCGTTTATTTATTGCTTTACCACGGGCTGGCAGCTTTTTCATCTTCTCCTTCCACTGCTGACATTCTATGGAACTTTATAACGTATGAACACCCCAGCTCACAGTACGTCATTTTTATTGCTCCAGGGACCTACCTACAATCACCCTCTCTTAATTTATAGAGCTGTGTTGATCACTCATGCCAGCTGTACCTTATCTCTCTACTCTTAACCTGGTCTACCCTTGATTTCCCACTATTCATTCCATCACTAGCTTACAGGCCTCACCTCCAGATTGGTAATTCAAAGTTAACCCATTACAACTGCCAACTTTGATCTGTTACCTTTTGCTCCTTCTTGTGCATTATAATTCAATGTCATATAAAATTTCTGCTTATGTTCTATAAATCCATTCCAGCTGGTCTCACATTGCTTGAAAATTCTCTGATTCATTATGGTGGAAAATATTTACTGCAATAGCTTCAGCAAAACTTAACCTATTCACTTAAAGCTGCTAATCTTAGAAATGTAGACTAGCAGCTGTGACTTTCTTCAATTTCATGAATTTAAGCTCTAAAATACATTTGATCTCCACATTCTGTCTCTTCTTTTACTCTGTCTCTGAAGAGGAAGAGAATTAGCACCATCTCATTTAATCCTCCCAATTAACTAAAGGATATAGGCATTTGAGACCAAGAAGTATAGAAATATCACAAAGGCAAATGTAAAAAGTAAATGTTTAAGTGGGGCTTCCAAACTGTAGTGGACACTGTCATGCTCTATAGAAATACCCTCAGATGCTGTTTACCATTTCTGAGCTCTTGAATGACCTTTGTCCCTAACAGCTCACACGGACAACTTTCTTTGGAGGATTATCCTTGAGCCACTTGAATCTCTTCTCCCACAAGTGCAGACATTCAGAAATTTGGGGGGTGTCTGTTTTCCCAGAGTGGCCTTTATCCACTGGCTAACTACTTGGGAATCTGAATACCAAGTTCCATTACTGTGAGGTAAAGTTTACACTCTAGGGTGCCCCCAGGAATCAGTCTGAGGCCAAGATTGTGTTCAAAGTTAAATATTTGTCTGATATCTTTCTTCCCCTTTTTGACTATCTATACTTCTTTCAGGTCCTGAGTTGCCTTCTAATTCTAGAATCTCTTTCTGGGATATCTAGCATAAAATACAAATCTTGACTCTGCTTTCTGTCTCTGATTCCTCCTTCTGTGCTCTATTGTTTCTTCCTTGTCAAGCCTCCTTGTATGCTCCCTGGAATTTGTCTCCCCTTTACATTCATTTCCATCCTCTTCCTTCCAATCAGTTTTTTTCCGTTTTGCCTATGAATACTTGCAATATCCCCATACTAAGAGAAACTTTATACCCTACAATCTTCTCACCTTCTATTTCTTCTCTTTCCCTTTATTATTCCAATTTCTGTCAGTTTATTCTGTAAATGCTAGTTCCACTTTCTAATTATTCCTTTATCCACTCTTTATATTGACTTCTGTCCTTCCTCATCTTTGACACTGATAAATATATGCAACACCATTCTGATCACCAGTTCCATGTTCTGTTCTCTGCTTTTTCTCTCTCCTGACTTCTTCACTGCTAGCACACTCTTCTTCCTTAAATGCTCTTCCTTTGACTTTCACAGTTCAGCAATTTTCCAAAGACTCAAAATTGCTAGGTTATTTGTTCTTTTCTCTCTCTCTCTCCTACTCATTCTATCCCCTAACTATAAGCATTCTTCATTTTTGTTCTTAGACTTCTTTTTTGGATACTTTTTCTTGGAAAACCTCATATACTATCACAGTTTATTATAGAGTCTGAACTCTGTTGGAATAAGTAAGAAGTGACTTTATATTTATCCAACTACTGATTCCATCTAGCTCTCTCCAAACTTTGCTGTCTCAGAAAGATCCCATAACTTCACAGCCAATTACCATTAAATGAACAGTATCATGCAGTTAAGACTGATTTTAAAGCACTCTCTTCCCTCTCTCCAACATTGCCCTGACTCCTTTTGGCATTGGGATTTGCAGTGAAAAAGATATACAATTATTTTTTTCATTTGCTGCTCTTTTTATTTTAGCCTCCCCTTTACATATTGTCTATAGTTCTCTCCATTACTTGACCTGAGGACAAGGAGACAACACTTTTCTCTTATCCACAAGGATGATCAATTAACCATTCTTAAGGATTCTTTGGCCGGGCGCGGTGGCTCAAGCCTGTAATCCCAGCACTTTGGGAGGTTGAGGTGGGTGGATCACGAGGTCAAGAGATCGAGACCATCCTGGTCAACATGGTGAAACCCCGTCTCTACTAAAGATACAAAAAATTAGCTGGGCATGGTGGCTTGTGCCTGTAATCCCAGCTACTCATGAGGCTGAGGCAGGAGAATTGCCTGAACCCAGGAGGCGGAGGTTGCGGTGAGCAGAGATGGCGCCATTGCACTCCAGCCTGGGTAACAAGAGCAAAACTCCGTCTCAAAAAAAAAAAAAAAAAAAAGGTATAGGGAGCTCTACCAGCTATTATATGGACCCAAGTTGTCTTCCAACCACATCACCTACTCTTCCCTACATGTACCTCAAGTACCTATACTCTTGCTGATGGCTTTTGCTTTGCCACCATCAAATCTTTAATTATTCTATTTCTTCTTATAATATATACCTACTGCATCTCAGAAACCACCTTTTCCTTCAAGTCTCCTCGATAAAGTTTCTACTAATCACTATTATTGCTGCTACCATCCTCATTTTTACTAGCTGCTCAAATTAAATGCTATCAACTTTGCATTAAACCCAAGATAATTTTATACTGATCTTCTAAAACGTATTACTTCAACATGACATTTGGATATGAGCTTTAAATTTGAGTCTGATCAATTAGTCTTTTACTGTGCCTGAAAAAAAGTCTTTACAAAGTGACACAATACCTTTAACTGAAATGTGTACTTGTTTAAATTTTCAGTTTAAACAGAAAACTCATTGTGAATAGTTGTAGCATCTTATTCATGCCAGCATACTTCACATTATCTGTAAGTGTCTTTCATATGCACTAGTATTTTGTCAAGATGTATTGAATTGAAGCCCAAGGATGACATGGAGCGATGCTGACATATTCTTGGCTCACAGTGCCTAGCACTCAATAAATGTTCATTGAATAAAATGATAAAATGTAGAGTATATGAAGATTCTTTTGCCTAATTTTCTCCATCAAGCTAGAATCAAGTAGGTATAGTCATATGGTAAGATAGATATGGAGCGATAACAGATACTTAAGAAAAAGCAGTTCTGTAATATCAACTCAAGGTTCTACAATGGGTTTGAATAACAAATGAAAAGGCAATCTATAGATTGACATGTAGCAGGAAGAGGCTTGTTAAATTGAGCTGTATGAATCTATAATAGGCCAGACACAAGAGGTTCTGTACAATATAAATGGACTTATGGCAACTGCGAAGCAAATAAATTCTTTATTAGAAACAAACTAAACGTTCAATTCCAGTGTACCTATGGGATTGCATAGCTTTTAAATTATACTCCTTCTTGTCATTAGAATAATGATTCATAGTCAAGCAATTGGTCAAATTTTCTCTTTTAAGGATATAATAATTTATTACAGCCAGGCACTGTGTCTCAATTACAGCCAACACTGATTGCACCACTGCATCCAGCCTAGGCAACAGAATGAGAGCCTGTCTCTAAAACAAACAAAAACTCATATAGCTACTAGGCAAATGAATAAATATTAGTACAAATAATGTATAAAGTAAAAGTGCTAGATGCTATGGGATCATATAAAAATCTAAACTATTTTCAAAGCCAAGTAAGGTTCAATAAAATTTAACAAGATAAAAATAAAAGAACATTTTCGGGTAAAAGAAAGAGGTTGGCAAAGGCTGGAAGTGGAAGAGAAAAAGATGTATTTAAAAAGCTAAGAAAAGAACAACAGAGATTGAGAAAGGAAAAAGACAATAACAAAAGTGTCCGACTGAAAATTATTATATGGTCTGATTAAGGAGGATCATAACAGAAACTTTGGACTTTACATGTAAAGCAATAGAAATTCCTTGAAAGATTTTAAGTAAGCAGATGTATACTTTTAAAAAATCACTCTAGGCTTTGGTGAGCTTAGGAGATCAATTGGGATGTTATTGCAGTATACAAGGTAACATGAAATTTAACTAGAATAAAAATAAAGATAGAAAGTGGTGGACTGACAATAGACATTTAGAAGAAAAGCTAAGCAGAACTTGGTGGTAGAAGAAATTCACTTCAATTTTATATATGTACAGTTTGGGTGCTTATGAAACCGCATAAAAATATCAAGACAGGTAGTTATACTTATTTAGAACTCAAAATAAACAAAAAAAAGAGTGAAAAAGAAGGAGAAGAAAACAAAAGTTTGGGATGAACATGTTTGAGAGTGATAGACATATATATGAACATTGAGATTTTAGAAATATTTAGAAATATGGAGGCCTATCAAATGGCTATTTTACTCACTCAATAAATAATTAAATGCCTAATTACATAAACAATTCTAGGGAAGAGCTTTAAATTGAGACTCAAGAATCATGTTAGTGCCTTCATTTGGATTTACACACATATAAAAGAAATATATAATAAATGTGACTTAAATATATACTATAATATATGAACAAAGTGAATATAAACACTTTTTCTGCTTACGTAAGATATTCTTGAACTTTGGCTCAGATGTTACAGCTAAAGGTAATTATTAAATTTTTTTTCAATAGAACTTAGACAACTCACTTAAGACTTGGAAGTTATATGTAAATCTTAAAATTACCCTTTCTCTGGGTGCACAGCTATAGATCTTGGTTGATCCAGGCCTTGGGAAATAATTACATAACGGAAAGAACCATTGAGTCTTGCAACTTCAATTAAGTTGAAACCATGATCTGTCCAATATATGTTACCTAGGAGAAATAATAGAGGTGTTTATAATACAATCATGAGAGAAAAATTACATAATTGTTATGACTAAAATTAAATTTCTGAGCATTCACATAACTATCAAGAAACTGTTTACTTCCTACATTCTTTTTAAATGTGTTTCCTAAACAGAAAGCTATAAATAAACTAATATGCAAATACTTTCAAATCCTAATTTCACACATCTATGATTTAAAGCATATAATGATATATTTACATGGTAAAAATAAGTTGAAACTTCTTAAAAAAGAGACCTATTTTAACTTTCTAGTGACTTCAGGCAAAAGAGAACTTCTAATACTTTTGTTTACCTGCCTTATGGAGCTCTCAGGAGATTTGGGCAAAGTTAACACAACATGATGTACTTCTACATAAAAACACTTATCCAAAGGCTCAATAGCATTAGGAGTAAAGCCAAAAGCAAAAGAGACTATTACCCCTGTGGCTAGAAGTACAAAACAAAAAAACTGTTACAAGTTAGAAGAGATTTTTTATGAAACAGTTTGATCCCCTAACAAAAAAGATGTGCAACAAAAAGAGAAAAAGCAATGGACTATACCAGCAATCCAGTCAATAGCTATCCCTTCCACTCTTCCCAAGCCATTGGTAACGATGTCTTCTTTCCAAGTCTGATCTCTTTTAGCTCGGCTAATTTTATTGAAGCCCATGTCTGTCCAGTAGATGGTATCATTTTCTATGGATAAGACACAGAAAAAAAAATACACACACACACTATAAAAGGTATCAATATATGTGTTAGTATTATATTGCAACAATATATTTTGGGATATCATCGTACATTGGCTAAATTATAAGTATTCTTCAGGATTTTACTTATATAAGTAGCATAAATTGACTAATATACTAATATAAATAGCATAAAATAAAGCATGAAAATAACATGAAATAACCTATATTTTAGTCAAATGATATTTCAAGTATTTTTTGAAATGTTATAGAAATAATCTATTGTATTGTTTATTTTTATCAATTTTTCTACTTATTTGAATGAATAAATTCTTATCCTGAGTGAATTTGCAACCTTGATTCCAAACCATGTTATTTTGGATCACAATTTTTCTCTTTACAACTATACCTGTGTCTGACTCTTCAATTAAAGAGAATGCTACTAGGGATAATCAACTCAACAAAATTCAAAGTAGAGAGAGGACAGAAAAAAACATAAGAGCATTTCAACTATATAAGAATGTTTTAAGGATAAGGCCATCCAGAATGCACAAAGTTTAAAAATGCCTTATCATCCAATTATTCCTTCTAAGGTACTAGTTCTCAAATGTCAACTACAAGACCCTTACATTATTTTTCAAACTCTCATTTTCCAAATGGGCTTAAGAATACTTGAAGAATTGTTCTATGGGATCACAGACACTTTAAATAAGAGTGCTTTTTGAATATTTGAATGAAAAGTGTGTCTAAAGACTATAAATGAAATATATGTGTATGCATATGCATAAAGGGTAGTAATTATAGACCAATGATTTTAAACACAGCCACCAGAAAGACACTGGGGATGAATCATTAAATAATAAATTTGCCAGCAGCTAAGTAAGTTTTTGTGTTGTGACCTACATGGCCATTTGAAGAACAAATCCTTTAAGACAAATAAAATTTCCCTCTGGCACACTGACAGAATATGGAAATAAAGAAAATGCAATTAGTATAATAAAGCCATTTATCAGTAAGCTTTGGGGTTCTGTTTCAAATGAAATATAGTCTTTAACCTCTTCAGGAAAAGATTCTAAATAGTTTCTGTTCTCAGCAATGGTTAAGTCAGACACACAATTGTTAGAGGCAGAGCAGGGACACCGTATCCAAAGATGTAGCTGGAAAGGAAAGATTTGTTTAATTTTCCCGTTTTGTAAAATTAACAATTAACATTTTTTCCTTATTGAACTAGGGAATCAATCAACAAAAATAAGTCTTATTTTTGCATAAATATTAAGCATTATATGTTGAGTCAAATTTTAACTAGAGCATTAAATATGTCATGGATAAGGACTGCATCTTCCCTAAACATTAGACCCATATGTCCAAATGTCTCTTGTATTTCTCTCCTTGTGTGTAGATAAGGCAATCTTGATGTACGATGGAAAATTCTGAATGAAGCATGCTTCTCTCAATGTCTTCTGCCTGACAACTCCCCTTTCCATGGTGGTATGATATAGTTGGCACCTCCATCCACTGGTGTTTCTTGGAATAAAAACATCAGATTGTCCTGATTATGTTTGCACATGTACCACATCCAATCAAGCACCAGATACTCTCATATTTAACCCATTATCAAGTATTTTTGTTCATTTTTTTCTTCTTTCTTTTGCTCCTGTACTTCCCTTTCCACATAAGTCTTGCCTTGCCACTTAGAAAAGTATAGATACAGAGTTAGTTTTAAAATGTAGATGAGTTGAAATGAAGAAATTCCCACAGGAAAAAAAAAACCATATATAAATAAGAATTTCTCCCTGCCATCTCACACCAAACTCTATAGTCACTTCCCCTTTCATCCAAGGTAAAATTAAAGTTCCTTCCTCTCAGTTTCATAATCTACCAACTCTCTCCAATCCTCCCTTGCTTAATTTTCTTCTACTCTTCCCCTTACTTACCCATCTCTAGTAATAGCCTTTCCTGTTCCTAAAACATTCTTCAGTACAAGATTCTTCACATTATTTTTTTCTTTTTGTCTTAAATGTTTTCCTCAAGATATCTCAGCTATCTTAGCTCTAATATCCCTTCTTGCTGAAACTTTCCTGACTATTCTATAAAATTATTTTTACCATGCTCTATTCCCCGTTACCAAAACGTATTTTCCTCTGCAGCACTTATCATTATCAAACACATTACACATTCATTGGTTTGTTTGTGGAGTGTCTCTTTTGTCTCACAAGAATGAAATTTCTGTGAGGGCTGGGGCTTGATTTCATTTGCAGCTTTATTCCTGCTTACCTGGAATACTTCCTGGCACATAAGCTCAAAGTAAACATTTGGTGAGTAATGAGGTAATGTGATATGCTGTATAAAAACTGGTTGGGAGGCAGATACAAAGAAAACATATCTCTTGACATAAAAATGCTTATTAGCTCATAAAGGAACAGAAGGTGTGCACATGAAGAAATGGCCAACAACTAGAAATAGTGTAAGATGAGCAGCATATAAGTCATACAGGCAAGGGTTTTTGGAATTCACAGAAGAAAATCAGGACAATCTTTACAATAAAAAAGGCACCTCTTCATTTCATATTACTTTCTAATAGCTTTATCAGCACTGTAAAATTATAGTCAATATAATCATAAAGCATTCCTTCCCATATAGACCACTACATCTTGCACATATCTTTGTCATATTGAACTGAAATTGCATTTTTGCATTTCTTTCTAGAACTAGACCATTAAATATGTCATAGATAGGAACTGCATCAGACCCAATTTTTTCTCAATATAGTCACATGTACTGTAGACACTTTATAATAGTGAGGCTATCTTTAAATGGTCCAGACCATGAGATCTCAGCATTGAGAAACTAACACATTTTCTTGTATCCTTTCTGTTAGGTACATTTGGGAAATTGGTGAGTAAATTAATCATGTGATGATGCATTAAGGAAAACTAAGAGTATAGAAGAATTAAATCACGCATTCATATTCAAATCCCTTTTTCTTATCAGTTTTTTTCACTTATATATTGTATTACCTGCACAAACACACACTAGACCAAACATTTGCTAAGATATAAGAACACGTTTTCTAATGTCTGGAATTATCTGCAAAATAAAGACAAATTAAGTAAAGCATGTTTTAATTAGGAAAGGAATCAAGTTGAAACAGCACAACATTTTACAACAAACTGTAAAGATACAAATGGAGAGAGATGCAAACATAGAAAGGGAAGACTTTCATAACCGTGTCCTGATACTTATTTCCAAATACGGTATTTCTTAGCTTTAATTACCTACATTCAGTAGATACTTACGGAATTCTTAGTTTGTGCTAAGAATTTTTGTAGGCATAAAATATGGTGGTGATCATAACAGACACTATCCCATAATCAAGTAGTTTATATTCCAGAGTAATATTAAAAATATCTTAAGACATATGGTAATCTGGTAATGTCTAGTATAATTACAGAATTGGAAAACAGAATTTGTAATTTAAGATAATAACAATTATAATTACCTCTCCACAGATATAATAAGACAAATATGAGTCTTTGAAGCCATTTTTAAGAATTATCATGTAGGGAAAAGGACAGCCAGCTATTTTATATTGCAATTATTATTAAAGTCAGAATTATAGGGAAAACCCTATATTGCCATAATTATACTTATCTGTAAAACAAAAGAAAGACTTTTTGACAATGAGAAATATTACACTTTTCAATTTGAGAGAAAAGTTTTTCCTGGGTATTTAGAGACCTAATCATGCAGGGCTCTGTCTGATAATAAGAAAAGGGAAATAAAAGAGTTTTAAAGTTTTTTCATCCTTGTCTGTATCCCTATGAATTAACAAACACTTGCTGACCACCTTTTGCAAAAATACTCTACTCTGTGTTATTATGGGCTTTTAGGTCTTAGAAAATTCAGAGTTATGTTTTCTGGCCTAAATGTAAATTATATTTCAGAAAACAGCATAAATATAGTAAAATAAGCCAGGTAAGGCATAACATAGGAGTTTACCATGATGCTCTGTCCTAAAATAATCACCAGCAAACTAGGAAGACATAATAACAAGGTAGAAAACATGGAGTCTAGGGCTCGGTTCTTATCACGGTTCTGCATTTATTGTGAATATTTCACAAAATTACTTTTTCTCTTTAGGCCTCATTTTCCTCCTAGATAAATATGAATTAAAATATAAATATATGCATATAAAAATTATATGTATTTAAATAACTAATGGAGGACAGAATTTACAGAACCTCTAGGATCTCTTCTAACTATAATATTCTAATGCTAAGATTTTATTTTTCACTTGCACATAAAGGGAATACACTATCTCAATGTTTGGTCCAATTTTAGCTGTTATGAAGATCTTCCTTTTCCCCTGCAGTTTTGCTCACTTTAATTAGCTGTGTTTGTCTGATTCTAAAAAGGATAAAGCATATTTTCCCAGAACATGCTACTTGTGACTTTTATGGCACATTTCTTTTTAAACTACAGGACTTTACATTTATTCCATTAAATGTCAGTTTGTTAAATGGGATCATGAATCCTACCTGTTGACATTTTTTAAAAATCATATGTAACACAATGAAACCTTTTGTGATATCCACAAATTTGATAAGTAGGTTTTCTTCATCTTTATTCAATCTAGTCATAAATGTGTTGAAATGGATCAAAGATGGACTTTCAACATACCACTGGAGACTTCCCTCTGAGGCAAATTATTTTCCTTTCTGTCATGCCTTAGTAATTTATAATTTATATATATTTAAGTATATAAATCTTAAGTGTACAGTTTGATGAACTTTTGCAAATGGAACACAACTATGTAACCACTTCCTTGGTCAAGACATAGATCGCTGACAGCATCACACAGGGCTCCTCTCTGTCTTCTGAGAGTCAGTATCTCTTCTCTTCCCTAGTGGGCAGCTGCTATTTTGACTTCTACCACCATAGAGTAGTATTATTTTAAAATTTTTGATAAATGGCAAAATACAGCATGTAGTCTTTGGCCTGACTTCT